ATTACTACTGCACTTTGGGATCTACAAATTTATGGACCCATTTTTTTTATACTAGGGGTAACGTCAATGTTAACCATTTATTTGATTGATCTACTCTTTATTTTGATTTTGACTCTCCCTAATCTATTAAATAAAAGGCAGACTTCATAACATAGAATTTCTGTCGCTATAGTGCAGGGAAAATGCAGCAGATTGCTAACACCAACTAATACTAATCCCGGAAATGTGACACTAGGAATAAAAGTTAAAATAGAGAAAAGTAATATGGATCTTTGTAACAGTGAGAAAGATTTCCCCCCCACCATAACCCAAACCCAATATCCCAATGGGAAGAAACGATATGTGGAGAGAACAGATCAGAACGTGAACACCAATCCTGGCCCAACCAGCTGCCCACCCTACCCAGAGTTCCACCAGTTCTACTGGAAATCTCTTACGTATACACCCTGTCACTCCCCTATATCCCATTTCTTTTGCTGCACCCTTAGGAATGTCCACGCAGTCTCTAACACCATAAAATCTACTATTATTCACAATCTCCTCATCTCCCGCTCCTTCAACCTCTTGGCACTAACTAAAACCTGGCTCTTTCCCTCTGACACTTCTACGTCTGTATTCCTATCCTATAGTGGATTGCACTTACACCAGTCCACCAGGCCATGCGATTCTAGTGGTGGGAATGTGGAATTTTTGCTAAACCCTAATTGTTCCTTCCAACCTTTGTTCCCTTGTCCTTCTTCACATTTGAAGTCCACTCCTCCATATCTTCAATCCACTCTCTGTGTGTACTGCTGTTTTCCACCATCTTCCTGGCTCTCATTTACTTTTCCTTGATAATTTTTCTGCAGAAATCTTACTTACTGTTTCTCCTGATATTTCTTTCCTTCCCTCATTTTTGGTGACGTCAACATCCCTAATTAACCAACCTAACAACTCAACAGCATCAACATTTCTATTGATCAACTCCTCCTTTGGCCTTACTCAATTGACTTACTTCCATGCAGACATAGCCAGCAATACCCCCGACTTTGTTTTTTCCACCTTTTGCTCTGTCTCTAACTTCTCTAACTTTCCCTCTGATCACCATCTGCTAACCTGCACTGTAAATGTGCCCCTCACTCAACATAGCAAATCTTCTCTTTCAACTCCTTTCCATCTCAAGCTACCTCGTACTACAATGTCAGGATTCCCCTATATTATTTTCTTTCTGATCGTTATTTACTCGGGTTCTCGATGATCCAACTCCGCCCATGCAGGAAGCTGCAGCCGCATTTGCATTGCTCAATCAATGTGTTTCCTACTTGTTGCTAATTGCCGACGGAGTTCCTTCTATTGATCACCCGTGTACCGAACCTCTCTTACCTGATCCTGACTACGCTGACTTCTCCACTCCCAGACTCGGAACAGGTTTGTCTACGATTTCCTCTGATACTCAATATACTACAGGGATCCTCAATCCTCATTATTGTACTGGAAAGGACTTCCATTCTCAGCATCTACAGGAACAAAGATTAGTTCTCCAGTTAGTAGGATTAATAATTGGATCATACCGTAAAGTTATTTGAAGGATAAAGGTAATACATATGTCTGCTCTCTGGTTTGCTACAATGAAAGTTCCATTACAGCTGATTGCGTTTTCATAATTGTTTCATTTATTATTGTTGGAGTGTAAAAGGACTATAACTACTATCCGAATCAGGATCTTCTTTATTTTCTACATTTCACTATTGAAGGACTCTGCCACATTCCTAAAACAGGAATTGTCCTTCTCCTATACATTATTTGAAGCCTAAGTATTTACCACAAGGCAAACAAGGCATTTGCCTAGGGTGGCATTTTAAGGGGGGGTGGCAACAAATGCCTTGTTAGCCTTATGTCCTGGGGGGACCAAGAGCTGGCCGGCTGGCCACCATAGGACCCTCCGAGGTGTTAAACTGGCGGCGAGGGAACACTGTCCTCACCACTTCCTGCTTCCTTGAGCGCCCTTCTGTGATGCCGGGAGCCGGAGTATGATGTCCCTCCGGCCCCTGGCATCACAAAGCAGTGCGCGAGGGAGCTAAGCAAGCATTGCTCAGTTCCCTTGCCGCTTCCATAAAGTGCCCGCACAGCCAGCAGAGTTAGTCCAAGAAGCAGTACCAGTAACCCCAGCAGCCCCAGCAAGGAGCCTGCCCAGCCAACCCAGCAGCAGTCAGTGTCTTTCAGTGTGTGCTTTTGTCAGTGAATGTGTGTTTGTGTAGGTCTGTGAGTGAGTGCTTGTAGCTGTCAGTGTGTGTGTGTGTGTGTGTGTGTGTGTGTATGTGTGAATGAGTGAATGTGTGTGTGCCTGTCAAAGTCAGTCAAATCAGTTAGGATGTGTGAGTCTGTGAGTGTGTGCCAGTGTATGTGTTTCTGAGACTGTGTGTCTGTCAGTGAGTGGGTGTGTCAAGGTGTGTCTGTCAGTGAAAGTGTATGTTGGCTAAACAATGTGTGTGCCTATGACTGTGTGTGTGTGTGCCAATGACTGTGTATCAGTCAGTGAGTTTATGTCAGTGCATGTATCAATGAGGGTGTGTGTCTTTCGGTCAAAAAAGTGGCCTTGAGACAAATTGGTGGGGCAAATTTAGATTACGGGGGTGCCTGAATTAAGTCATGCCTAGGGCAGCACAAATCCAAAATACACCAATGGCCTAAGGGACTGTATTATATATTCCTTAACAAGGAGTTACCTTATTTAATTGTTGCTACTGAATGCTATTTTCTGTGAAGCAAATCCTAAGCAAGATTACCATTGCTAGATGGGATATTATTTTCAGTTTATATTGCTGCAGAAGCTCACCCTAATCTCCAGCCATGCCTTGGCATAGGAAGCTCAACCGTTATCCCCAATGATGTTCTTTTACTGCCAAACGTTGGAGAAAGTTTTGCACCACACCGGACTTCTTACATTACAAATTCATGCTACTTTCTGATATCTTTTCTCCACGTTCAATAAGGCACAGATTTAGACCAAAACTTGTTGAACTTGACCTTAACTGAAACTGAGATTTCAGCAACAGCATATATCATAAGAGGCAGTAGCATAACTACCGTGGGGGAGGGGAGGAGCAGACGGTGCAGCTGCCCCGGGCACAAAAATTAGGGGGGAGCTGCGCACTGCCGGCAATGTAGCCCACAAGCTCAGGAGACCCATCGGATGGTGCATGCACATAGAGCCACCTGATGGCCATCTTTGTTCAGGGCTCTCTGGTCTGTGTTAAGCCACTGTGCTGGAAGGAAGCGAGTACAAGTCACTTCCTCTCAGAATGTGAGTGTATCTGTGTCTTCTGTGTGTGTGTATGTTATCTATGTGTGTGTGCATTTGTGTTAGTGTGTATCTATGTGTGTAGGGTTAGGGTTAGGAGTAGTGTTAGGGTAGGGTTAGGGTTAGGATTAGGGTTATGGTAGGGTTAGGAGTACGGTAGGGGTAGGGTTAGGAATAGGGTTAGGGTTACCCTAACCTTACCCTTAACCCTACTCCAACCGCTAACCCTACCCCAACCCTTAACCCTACCCATGGGCAGGAGGCTCCTCCATGAACTCATGGCAAACTCACTTGAAAAGGGGAGTTTGTCACATCGTACATCTCTTGGAATTTGCTACAAAGAGGTACAGAGGGAACATGATAATGATGCTATTATTATGATGGAAAGGGTGATTATGTTCAAGGGATAGGAGACTAAGAAATATTTTTTTTATATTGCAAAATATTTTGTTTTTCATGTATTTCAAAATATAAAAAGCTCCCACAAGTGGTGGGGATGCTTGGCCATCCATACTTACTGGCTGAATATCACAAAAATGAATCATAATATTACAGGAACCCAGCTCCCCTTGAACCCCAAAACACTATTATTCTACCTGATCAAACTTCCAATTTGCAAAACCACCACTATGCTTATCCAGCACATGCTCACGGCTGCTAATCTATTTATCCCACTGTGTTGGTAACAACTTTCAGCTCCATCTATGAGGAAGTGGATACATAAAGTAGACTCTATTACAATGGAAGAACTTAGATATTCCTTGAAACATAGATATGCTCTTTATAAAGATATCTGGTACCCATGGTTACATTTCATGAAGAAGGACGAGGTAGACAAGGCCCAGAAGAGAATCGTTGACAGAGCTCTCACTTAGAGAGTTAAGGAACATACCTTAAGTAGCAGTTTCAATGCTTCAAGGTTACACATGGAAAATGAATATATCCTGGTCCTTGTTTCTCTGACTTTAATGACTGGATAAAGAAGACCATTCACTTTTACTTGTACCTACCTTTTATTTTAATTAGAGTATAGCTTCATGCCTCCGGCAGACAAACCCCTGGGTTACTTATATATCCTATCTACTTTAATTTTCTTGGACTTACTTCAAACTTGATGCCAGATTTGTTAACTACCTAAAATGCTGTAATGTGGCACTTTCTTTGAGAACATTAGTAATTAAGTGTTATGAATGCTGGTATATCAGATCACCATCATTCATATTCGGTTCCTCCCGTAATGCTAGGAGCTGAGTGATTATAGCTTGCAGTTCGGGTATCAAGACAAATATTCTCCAGCTAGAATGCAGCATACAAGAAGTCTTCCCCAGCAGTCAGTCATATACCCAAACATCAGCCTGAACTAGATGAAGGGTACAACAGGAATGATTTTATTCAGGCCAACTGGCCGGCTTTTTATGCAAGTTCCCAGGAACGGGGTTTACAATAACATATTCCCCACTGGACCTGAGAGGGCACAGGGACAAAGTACATACTGTAGTTACATTGGCTCACAGGTCCAGGACACTCGCACATAGAATACAGTAATCCTTCCCCTTTACATAGGAGATAATTGAGTCAAGTATTGTACTAAACTCAATTATCTCCAAACACAAAAAACACATATTTTCACAAACCCAGAAAGTGCCTTAAACCCCATGGGAACCCCACAAAACTCCATGATTTCCATGGAAGTCATAATTTGACTGACCGCACACGAGGCTCCTGCCCAGAAAGAGTTCCATGAAATCAGGTTGTGCTGTCGGTCTCCTTTGGGAAGTCTAAAAACCGAACAAATTCACAAACTGTTCCCTGGCTCATAGGTAGCGTTTGTTCACCTAGTTTGTTGGAACAAACCTACCGAACAGCGCCCTCCTGGCTGGTCGGTGAACAGAAGCAGGCGTTTGTGAAGTTTGACCTGCATTCATAAGCTGTAAAATATGATGCTATTTTAAAAAAGACAGCGGTCGTCAATTTTTCATTTCTTGTTTTTGTGTGCTTGTTTCTGTAATTGTTTTGTTTTCTGTGAAACTGCAACAGCAGGCAGGTTAGGTTAAGCCACAGTTAAGCCACAGTCGGTCAGATAATAGGGACTGAACCAACATGGGTCATAATTAAAACAATATCCTTAAGTTTAATTCAATGTAACTAACTTTTAAAAAAAGTTGTCCTTCACAATCATATGTGCTGAATGCTTGGGTAGCGTGCATTTTCTTGTGATCCCTGTGTGTATAAACACTGTGCGTTCTTTTTGTCATTTCTCTGACTGTCACATGCACAAACTCCAATATTAGATGACAAAATACTTCCAAATAAAGATGTGAATCAGACCCCTCCTTCGCGCCAATCACTCTCATTCTCTCCTTAAAACTGAGGATGTGGGTGCTGGCTTCAGTCTACACCTGACTGGGACGCAGACACCCAAAACTATGGCTGAGAGATTTGTAGACAGTAAAATAAAGCCGGGCAAAGTCACTGTGTTTATTAAGACAGAGTGTCCTTACTGTGTTAGAGCACTAGAAATCTTACAACAATATCGTTTTAAACCAGAGGGCTTTGAAGTTCTTTCTGTCAATGACCAGAATGACGCAGAAAAGATTATGCAATATCTGCTCGAAAAAACAGGACAAAGAACGGTGAGTATTATACTAGAATATTTTTGAGATGTTTGAAAAGTCATCAATGGTTAAATCACTGAATGTGTTATGAGAATTGTCGGACATTCCAAACGAATTGAAAGTGAATTACAAATTTAAGTCCAAAGTAGCTGAACTGGAAATATTCTCCCAGACAACTGTGCTTCCAGATTCGCTATTCTGGCGTTAAATGTGAACTTCACTTTGACTGCTTGGTTGTAGAGAGGTATTAGCAGTAGAAAGAGGGAAGTGTTCATGCCATTGTACAGAACACTGGTGAGACCTCACTTGGAATATTGAATGCAGTACCGGAGATCCAAAATCCACCTTGGGGAGGTGGGCAGGGCATGAAAGATTCTGAACGTCAGTGTTTAGCATAGGCCGCATAACAGAGGGAACAGGGAGGATACACAGCAGGCATGTCATTGGTCAGAAGTGCTAGGAGTTTTTCCTTTATTTTCCCAAAAGGACCATCTGAATTGTAATGCAAAACAAATGTGACGATCTCTGAAAATGGATTTCGTTATACGTTGTTGGGGTTTATTGCAAACTGAAATCCATGTGGCACAAATTAACCACATTTTGCTATTCACATTTTAATCTGTTTCAATTTGAGGTTCAGTGAATTAACCATCTACGAAGACGATTTATAATTTCTGAGCCTATTTGTTCCTAGGTACCGCGTATATTTTTTGGAAATAATTGCATCGGTGGCTGCTCGGAGCTCTCCACTCTTGAAAGCAGCGGGAAGTTGGATCAAACCTTGCAAACTTTAGGCGCTTTGCAATAATAACTAACTGGTGAGTGATACTTACTACAGCTATATAAGTGTAAATTATATTGGACTTCATTTACTGAACACTGAAATGTACTGAATTAATAGCAATTTTTTTTTTATAATTTAGGCAAAACGTGCGCATTTGAAAATATTCTCCAAATCCATTATAGCCACAGTTTGGCTGTTACCGACAGCTCACTACAATTTAATGTTTAGTGAATAAACATCATGTTTATTGTAAAACGTATGTAGTATATTATATAACATGTACAAGTAATGTACACATTTGTGTATGTGTTTTGGAGCTAGTTTTATTCTGTTCCAATCCACTTGTTTTTGAATGAAATTTCATCATATAAAAACCCCGGCAAAGCTTCATGTTACTTGTAGTAGGCAAGAAATCTATTGGGCATTCCCAGATTGGGCATTAAATGACATTTGTTTGAAGGCAGCTTTCGGGGTGCAGGACAGGAGCTGGACATAAACCTTATGGAAAGTGTTTTGTTTTTTTACACAATTTTGTTTCAAGGAGGAAATAAATTGAATTACTGAAAGGTATGCAATGCAGTTTATTTATTGCATTGGTATTTTTTTAATGGATCATCTATTTGTTACTATATATTAATAGACCTGAAAAACAGAAAATAAGATTTTTTTTCTTTTTAACTTTTCAACAAACTGTGCGGCCACTTAGGGCAGGTGCAAGGATTTTTACCGTCCTAGGCAAAAAACATTGTGACGCCCCATTTGCTCCACCCACTCATGCAGACTGACATACACTGACCCAAGCAGACATATACATTTTAAATGTCTTGAATTCCCAGTTCATGTACAATCCTGTCATGTCCTGTCCATGTTCTGTTCATGTTTCCTTCATGTATTGTATACATTTTCTGGGTTCTGTTTTCTGTCCTGCTCTGGTTCTGGGTTCTTCTAGTCTTGTCTTGTTATCTTGTTTGGTGCCTGTTCTAGTCTTACCTTGTTTTTAGTACTGGATACATATCAGCATATCATCAAGCTCCTGGCTTCCGCTTTAGCTGCATCAGAGCTCTGGTATGTGGCCGAACAAACCCTGGTGCTCAACACCAGGGGGCGTGTGGTTACCCTTAGGCATGTGCATGGGGAAAGTTTTCGGTTCGGCATTTCCAAAATTCAGGATTTTCGCAGTTCGAGACTTCGGCACTTCGACACTTGGAAATTCGGCAACTTCGGCACTTCGGAATTTCGGTACTTCAGGACTTCTATTGCAGCCGCTTAGTAGATAACTCCCTAATTCCCATGGTATTAGGGAGCTATCTACCAAAAGGCTGAAAGACCTAAATTGGTATTTCAGCCAAATTTACTAATACTAAGTAAAAATTACTTAGTATTGGTAAATTTTGCCCCTACTCGCTATACTGCAAATAGGGGCATGTCTAGTAAACAGTGAGCAGCCTGTGGCTCCCGAGCCCCCACCCACAACGCGCGAGTGGGGGCTTTTAAACTAAATGGGGGACCTATTTCCCCCCGCCCCCACCCCTGAGCGGTGGGTGGGGGCCCCAAAGTAAAATGATGGGGGGCCTATTGTCCTCCCCCCTGGCCCCCACCCCTGAGTGGTGGGTGGGGGCCCCAAAGTAAAATGATGGGGGGGGGGCTATTGTCCTCCCCCCTGGCCCCCACCCCTGAGCGGTGGGTGGGGGCCCTAAATACTAATAAGGGGGGAGACCTAAGGTCCTCCCCCCTGGCCCACACCCCTGAGCGGCGGGAGGGCCCTTAAAAAAATGTTCCCCCCAGGTGACTAGGGGTCCCCAAACCCCTAGTCACCCCCTCCCCTCACAAAAAAAATTATCCCCCTACCTCTTCACTCGTCTTCTGCTTTCCCTCCTTTCATTTTTGGTTTTACCCTTTTCATATGATGTCACTGACCTCATGTGCCCTCTATGCCAACAAACTCCAGGAACTGCGAGGCTTAATGCTCTTATCTGTCTCTTATGGTCTTACATACAAATGATAATATTTATCTGTGTTAAAGGGAACACTACATTGGAGGAAAAAAATAATCTCTATTTATTAGATATACCCTCATAAAAAAAACTATTTCTGCATTTTTTAACTGAGGGTATATCTAACAACAGCTTGTAATTGCTGCAGATCTATTGTCTGCAGCCTTTGCAAGCCCTCTCTCAGTCTGGGCGAAATGAATGACTGATCAGAGGCTTCTTATTGAGATGCCTCTGATTTTGAGAATGCAGGCAATCAGCAATAACAAGGGGGATGTAGGGACACAGGGATAAAATAATCCCAGTGCATGCGCGAGCTCACAGACATAGTGTGACTTCCACTTACGGAAGTTTTGTGGAGCTCATAGAACCGGAATATAAACAACCCGGCCAACAGCCTGGGTGGGTAATTCTTGATGATTTGTAAACGTTAAGATTTTAGATATAAATCATCAGTTTGATAAACTGTAATTAAAATAAGACTGCCCTGACACATAAAGCACTTCACAAAAAATCTATAATAAAAGTCATATTTATCGGACAATGTTGAACAGCACCTTTCAAATATGAAACTTTAAAATATAATGGTATGTGAAAAACGCATACGATGTTTGATTCACTAAAAACTTATATTTTGGAGGCTTTACAAAATCATAATTTTGAGGCGAAAAATAGCCAGACTGGACAATTTTTACAACTCAGGTTTTTTTGTTTTTTTTAAATGTTTAATTTTTATTGTAAGGTGCATATATGACACATTTACACGAGTACAGATGATTGTAACATATTGGTAAACATGGATTCACACATAATACTGGCATTGGTCAGCAGGTAACGTCTAAGCATACATTATTACACTTCGTGTTTTCGTAGGTTGGAGGGCATAAAGATCGCTGTATGTGGGTTTTGCGCTCTCTTGAGATCCTAAGCCTTGGGGTGGGGGTATTAGGTGTGGTGTATCGTTGGTAGCTATAAACAGTGTAGCCATCTGGTGGGTACGGGGGACCTTTTGTAACCTTGGTTATATTACATGTATCCTTAGAAGGTGCACACTTAAAAGGATTACAGTGTTTATAATATGAATAGAACATTACAACTCAGGTTTTAGTTTCAGTTTTGGCTCAAAATTTGCAGCTCACTTCTGAATAGTCTTCAGAAATATGTGATTTTGTGTTACAGGAAAAACTGTGAACTAATGCAATATTTATTTTTCTTATTTTTTTCAGAATAAAACAAAGCTTTTTCTGATCGAATAGAAGATGATTCTAAGAACATGCATTTTATGTGATACAAAATAAAACAAACTTATAGCACATGGTATTAAACACTAATAAAACCAAACCACGTCACTGGTTTAAGAAGCCTTAAATACATACATGTCTTTTTTGAAAATTTGTGAGAAAATAAGCAAATAAATTTCTAATATTTGAAATGGATTGAGTTCCTTAGTCACACACCAAGTACCCTAACACTACATCTTATAGTGGTTATGGAGGTTGGTGACAGTAGCGGGAGTCAAAAAATGTTAGTAATCAGTTCCAACGTTTCATATGTTTCCAACTCCACAGGGCCGGCCCAAGACATTGTGCTGCCTGGATCCAAGACTCCATCCTCCTCCCTAGTCATGCAGGCAGGCACACACACATACACACAAGCACATCAACAAATTCACACATATACACCCTGGGGGGCAACAACACCCTGGGGGGCAAAGGAATGCTATTAATGCATTAACTTTGTATTTCAAGCCAATTAACATCAAATGCATAAACTCAGTATATCATGCCAATGAGCCACATGTGTCTCCCATCAGCCAGCACTATCTCTCTGCCACCAGCAGGGCCACCATCAGGGCATGACAACCGCAACGGTTGTCATGGGCCCGGACTGCTAAGGTCATCCGGGCCCCCCCATTCAGTGGGTACATACCGGGTCGCAGGGGGCTCTGCGACCCTGGTATGTACCCACTGGGCCAGCCTCTTCTCCTGGGGGGCCCAGGAGCCGGTCACCTCAGGGCCCCCCAGAGGCTGGCCCTGACAGCCGGCCGGCGTGCGAGGGAGCACTCTCCTCTGAGTGCTTCCTCTTCAGCTCCCTCGCGCACCGTACTGATGCCGGAGGATGACGTCATCTTCCGGCGCCGGCATTAGTACGCGGCGCGCGAGGGAGCTGAAGAGAAAGCACTCAGAGGAGAGTGCTCCCTCGCACGCCGGCCGGCTGTCAGAGGGAGGGGGAGGAAGCCAATGGCGGGGAGGGAAATCGGAGGGAGGGGGGAGGAAGGAAATTTGAGGGAGGGGGGAGGAAAGAAATTTAAGGGAGGAGGGGGGGAGGAAGGAAATTTAGGGGAGGAAGGAAATTTAGGGGAGAAAGGAAATTTGGAGGAGTGGGGGGAAAGGAAATTT